AGTGTAGGAAGATGTTATCCACAACTGATTTATTTTAATCTCAGACAAGTCCAATTCCTCTAAATTTGAAAACACAACCTGCAAAACAGACAATTCTTTTACTAAGAAAAAGCATATATTTCAATTTTTTGATATATAAGACAACAAAAAGGAGAAAATGATGAAATTGATAGTGTTGAGGATATGCAGTCAAGGAAGGAAGGCTTTTTGAATTTAAACGAAACGGTCGAAAATGATGGTAACAGTGGTTTCAATTTGTAGTGCAGGGCAATTTCTCAGGTTGATGACGAACATAGATTATTTATGGATTGTGGGCCGGTAGTGGATAAATGTGATGGGCTGAAGGAGTATGATGGGCTGGTAGCCAACCCAAGTGGGATGGTCGGGAGCAGTAAAGAAAATAGGCCCGATGATGATAATGTGGGACAGCTAGCATCTGTCTGGGCGGAGCGGGGGTAGTTGGTGACAGCCAGAACAAAGCTACGGCAAGGGAGGAGAGATGGCTCGAAAGGCTGCAACGGAAACAGTGGAGCGGGTTGGCAGCATGTCTCTTTCTGATGGATGTATTATGCACAGAAACCAGGTAATTCAAAGAGAACTTAATTTGCATGAGGTGAGGTAGATGATGAGAGTGGGGAAAAGGTTGGGTATTGAAATGCAAGGTAATAAAGAGGAGATTGAGTCTAGGTTGTTAGAGTTAGAAGATAGGGATGAGGAGAGGGGACGGAATCTAAAACGAGATTAAGGGTGTTCGGGTGATTAGGGATGTGGGTTTCTTATTAGAATGAAGCTTTTATCTTTTAATGTCAGGGGTTTGTTTTAAAAAAAAAAAAAAGAAACAAAAAATTGAAATAAAATAAAAGAAATGAATGAAATACCTTATCGTTGAAAAGTGAGAAGCCGCTGCAATTACCACCGTTGAAGAAGCTAATCAGTCCTGGTAGCCATCCTAATGTTAAGGACCGCAGATTGTTGCCAAGCTTACATACTTCACTTTCTTCAACGATATCGTTTCCGTTGCCTTGCTCCTCCACGTCATCAATAATCTCTGCAATGTTCTCGCAATCTTCTACTCTTATTTCTCGAAGTTGAAGCTGTCTGGCCATGGAGAAGGAGAACAGATTCTTCAATTGATCACAACCAACAACGGTTACCTTTCTTAATTCTTTAAAAGGTTCTGCTCCAGTCAGACCACGACATATCTTCTCCATTTTTTCCAAATTGAAAAGAGTCAATACCTCCAACATGGGAAATACATGGGAAGGAAGCAACCTCCCTGCTGAGTTAAAGATGTGTCGAAAGTCTGGAGCATTTTGGACATGGAGATACTTCAGATGTTGAAAACCTTCATCATCTAACTCATCAACTAAACTCTCGACACCATTTAATGCCTCTAGATACAGTTCTTCTGTCTTCTTCAACAACTTTTTAACTGAGTCATTACATTTAATGCTTGCACCCTGCAGCTTTAGCTTCATTATTTTTGAGCTTTCAAAGGGGCTGTTCCAGGAGTAACTGTCCCAAGAGTCATTGTACCTAGGGTCCGAAGGGTCCGAAGGGTCCCTAGGCTCCCAAGGCTCCAAAGGCGGCTTGCTCACTATCCCTATGAAAATCTTGAACCTTTCCAAATTTTCAAGGAACAAGGTTTGTTGGAAATTAGGAATACGTACCTCTAAAGCAGTGAGCATACGCAACTCTGCTAAATCAGCAAGCCTAGCATTTCCTCCCTCCACATCATCCCACTGGTCAAAGCTGTTTCCCATTTTTAGCTCTTCCAATTTAGACAATCTTGCTAACACTTGCCGTGGAATTACTCTCAGTTTGGTGCAGTCACTCACATCTAACAACTTTAGCTTGGTTAGCTTCTCCATTTCTCTTGGCAACTCTTCAATATCACAACCTGCAAGGCTAAGGACTTCTAAATTCTCCAGATTTCCCACAATGGCGCCTAGGGCTTCGACGCTAAACACACATTGATCCAAAAGCAATGTTCGAAGCGTTGTTGGGATCAGGGGAATTTCTGAGGGCATTGACTGAAAATCAATTCTAGTCAAACATAAGACTTTGAGCACATCTGTTCCAGTGAACAAATCAGTTGGAACTGCCAGAGAACAACCCTTGTTAGACAAATGAAAGAAAGTGAGCTGCGGACAGTTCAACCCATTGCTCGTGAGCTCAGGATAGCCATTTGACAAATAAATCCACTTCAAAATTTTCATTGTCTCCTTTTCTGGCCAGTCTTCTCCTCCATCTTCATCTACTAAAGCCAATACACCATGTTCCCTAGAAGCAATTGACAGGGCAACCTCCCGAATCTGATCGTGCATACCGAAATGCAGATTGCTGTGACCATCAACCAACAAAGAAGAGATTTTGAGACTGTGAACCAGTGTCAGTACTTTGTCTCGTGTCTCTTCCACTGTTTTCACCCTCCGAAATAAATTCAAGCCCATACCATATTTTAACAAGTCATTGATTGAAGAGTCATGGCCCAGCAAGCTACAAAGCATGAACGTTTGCTTGAGTTCATCTCCTTGTAAGTACTTGTAGGACAACTCTATAGGCTTAAAAACAGCTGCAGAGATCCCTTCTGGATTAGGCCTTTCCAATTCCACAAGAGCAGTTTTCCACTCATGTTGCCGAGTCTTACCTTTCATGGCCTTTCCAACTGATGCAATAGCAACGGGCAACCCGAGACATTTCTTAACGATCTCTTTAGCTATCGGTTGAAAATCAGAGCTTTCAACTTTGCTGCCAACAATCTTCTTGAATAGAAGCCATGCTTCATCATCTTCTAATTCATGTACCTTAAAGACCTGATCTTTCTCATCCATCATACCAGAGAGAACATTCGGATCTCTTGAGGTTAGTAGAATCTTGCGGAGCATATCTTCTTGTCCAGATGAGTGTTCTTCATTCCTTTTCTCCATAGCCTGCTTCAGCTCACTTGCAGAAGGGATCCCGAATTTCTCGAAGTCTATTTTAGTATCCCATACATCATCCAAAATAACAAGAAATTTCCCCTCTTTCATCAGCTTTGCCTTTATTAAATCTGCAACTTGCCGATCGGTATGCTCTCTGAAAGAAAGCTGATCGAAACCCAAGTCGCGTGCAATGTCTTCTTGAATGCTTTTCAAATCCCGATCCTTTGTCGCTGTAGCCATAACTACCACAGTAAACAAGCTATCTTGCTTGGCTTTTCCTTTAACCATTTTTACAAGGAAAGTCTTCCCCACGCCAGAAGTCCCATGCACTCCGATCGTGTTGACGGTTGGACTTCTTAGGGCCTCCATGATCTGGTTCACAACAATCTTTCTCGAGTGGAACTCCTCAAAACCTTCTACATCTGCAGCCACATCCGGTTGTGGAGAAGGAAATCGAGAAAGCGGAAGGTTGAACCCACGGGCTTGCTGCACAAGTTGATCAATGTCATTCAATTTCTGCTCTGCTTCCTTGCTGAACTTGTAACGTGACGAGGACTCCGGACACAATGAAAAGAAACACTCCCTGTCCGCAATTTTTCCCCCATCCACCGCCAATTCTTCTGCGTCTTTGATGAGCCTTTCTGCCTTTTCCGGCCATGCCGAGTGTTCAAACACTTTTCCCTGTCGTTCAGCATCAGTTTTATAGTTCTCCACACGTTGTTTTTCATCCTTCAGATCCTTTAGTCTATTATTTAGATCCGCAACCTTTTCGTTGCAGTTGCGTAAAACGGTGACTCGATTGAAAATTGGATTGATCAAGCACAGATTGCACAAGTTTCCAGCGGCACTCGCCGCGGCACTCACAGCAATAGAACAAACCACTCCCATCTTATAATTCTGTTTCTGTTTTTGTTTTTTTTTTCTGAGTTTGGCAAATAGATACAAGAAGAATGGTGGAAGAATGAGCTAATTTGTGCTATGAAGGGTTGATAACTGATCACAGAAGAGAGAGAAAGTAACAGAAGAACCAAATTAAACAGAGGGTGAGAAATGAGAATGGTGGAAGGATGAGGTGATTTGTGTAAAGGGAAGTGAGGTGAGGTGCAGATGAGCAGCTGAGGATGATGAAAAGAAGGATTGAGCAGAGATGATCAAAAGAAATGGTGGAAGACAGTAGAAGTGAAAGTTTGGTTTCATAAAAATCAAAATGATGCTGGTAGATTTGATTTGGAAGAGCTTTTGAGCTTGGATTTTGGGTTTTTTTTTTTTGGTAGAGAAATGGGAGAGGAGGAAAATGGTTTTTATAGGTTATTTTAAAACCTTGCCTTGGTCTTCTCTTATAAGAGAAAAAATGAGATGAATTATTGAGCCCATCATATTCATAACCATGTGGGCCTTCTACATGAACAAAACATAACCTGGGTTAAATCTTGACTTCTTTAGGGCTTTTTCCTCTAATTCTTTTTTGAGTCTTAATTTTTGTGTTTGTTATGTAACAAAGAAAAATTTTTATGTTTGGTAAATGTGAGTACTTTTTTTAAAAGGATAAACAGTTGCAAAAGATTTACAAATAAGGTGAGCAAGTTTGACAAAATTTAAAAAAATTATTTTAAAAATATTATTCTTTTCTTACAAATTTAAAATTTTGGTGAAATCTCACTTGCCCACATCCATGATCCCATTCCATCCACTTTCCTATAAGTTGTCATACGTTCATTCTGATCAATTCCGGAGACCTACTAAATTACAGATAATTCATAGAGTAGCACAAAAGATGATGGGATAAAAAGTGGAAAAGATAATCTGAATCCTTAGGGAATTAACAAGGACAACAAATTGATCCAGGCACCAACGGTAAGGATATACCTTTGTTATAAAAATGAAAATATAACTCATTTCATCTTTTCAAAGAATTAACTTCAGAAATCATTTACAAATAAATTTTCATATCTTAAAATTGGACTAAAACTAACAAAATGAAGGCCGAGGTACAAGGTCTAGTTTAGGCCAAAAAAAAAAGAAAAAGAAGGAAGGAATGGCAGTAAAAGGCAACATTACCTGAAATTTAAAAAAGAAAAACACCATACTTTCCTATTACTATACATTTCATTCTATCAATAATGTGAGGTCTGAATGTCAAAAGGTAAGATGGGATATTGGCCTTTTCTAGATTTTTCTCCAATGCAAACCCTACACGCTCACCTCTTTTTTCTATTTCTCATTTCCATATGGAAAATATATAGTTATAATATTTGTAATATTATAAATATTACAAATTTATAATATAATATAAAATATTATTTCATATTTATTTTTTTATTTAAAAATTTATTTATAATATTATAT